TAAAATAAGACAGAATTTTTGTAGGACATAAGCATTAGTACAATCTGTAGAATTCGTGTGATATTGGTAGAACTTATATGAAGGATGCGATAGCTGCCTACCCGAATAACAGCGCGCTTTGCGTCCGTTACTTAGTAACCGTGCCATGTGCAGATATCCTTCCAGGTCAGTTTGACCCGTGATGCACCTCAAGCGGATATTTTTTCAAGGATTTCGGTTTCAACACTTGCATCGCATAGTTTTATTTATCTACTACTATAATCACATAAGCTATGGACAATCACCATGTGATGGTATGTTCTCATCAGCATTTCACTAGAATTCTCGATATTTCAAACTTGCTAAAAATTCATCAAATTCATATTGTAGGTACAACGGAGTTGAACGTAACACGTACAAGGCAGTACCTCACCACACCTTTTTACGACCATGCTAATTATCCTCCAAAAATGGATTGCTATTACGTACTGGTGGCGGAACCAGGCAACAGGATATTGATAGAAATATTGGATGTGGACATGGAGGCGCAGATATTCCGTTCCTGCCTCGATTACATCGGCTTTTATGAGGGTACTAAAGATATGCTTCATTCATTAACACAATAATAATAATATAATAATAAGAAGGTTCAGCACTTAAAGATTAAGATTCTATAGCTACCGAATTCGCTCCGTTAATTTTTTTTTTGTCTTTTCTAATCTGTTTATAAAGTTTGATACTCACAAATCATTAAAGTAGTTTCGCTGTACTAGAGAGCTACAAATGCAAATTCGAAAGAAAAGTATCTTGCAATATCACCAAGTCAATTGAAGTTTTTTCTTTATCTTTTCAAAAACTACTAAAATATCTTGAATTAGCGCTTTAATATCTCCAACAATTACATCTTCAGAAAAAAAATTGCAAGATAATAATTTAGTTTGAACAAATATTTTTGATTAGATGCGTAAGCTGTTAAAAATTTGCTAGCACGTCAATTTTTTATATGACTATCTCCGCACTAATAAATTTAGGAAATGTAGTATTCATTTCCATTAGCTGATAGGATTATGGAATCAGTCCTTGATTATTGAGTCATTCTTGTAGGTAAACATGAGCGATATTCACGACCATATTTAATGTTTTGTGGACAGGTCAAAGATCGGCAGGTACGTAAATCTATGGAAGGTGAATAGTAAACTTCATGTCACTTTTTAAAAAAT